ATACAGAACTGGGGTACAGGCCAGGGGGTTGGAGTGAGCAGGTTCACCAGAGACAGAGCAGAGAGTAGAACAGACAGGTCTGCTGAGGAGAGTAGCAGGCGAGGCAGGAGAGGTCTGCTGCACCATGTGGGTCACCTCCCTGGCTAGGAATAAACTCTTGCTACGGTGGCTAGGATTTAACCCCTTGTGCTACCAGGGAGGCCGTGTCAAAGTCATTTTAATGAATTTAGTTCTTACATAATGATAGCCAGTGATAGTCCAGAAACGTAATGATGTAAAAACAATAACTAACAATCTCCCATTCCTCGTCACCCCCATTGCTTTCTCCTAAAAGGTTTAACTTGCTATTCTCACCACTACAGTGTTTTCCATAAAATCGTTTTAATGATTTCTTACCTCATGGACGATGAGCCCTAACTGGGCAGACATACTTGTTAATTTTTTTAAAATCACTATCAAGTTATCAATTATTTGATGTCTTAAAGCAATGGCAAATCATTAAATTCCCTTCAAGGGTTTGAAATGCATTTGATCAATGAAATCTCCCATTTTCTCAACATGTCTTGTCTCTTAGACAGTTACATAAATCCCACATATGCCATGGGAGCCTTCTCTCCCTGACATCCAGAGAGAGCAACTGCCAGCCACTTGTTACACATACATTGCCTTGGAAATGTACCTTGTGCCTGTCACCATAGCAACACCCTGAGAATGACCTCAGCAGCCACTCAAAATCATTCCTACAAAACAAATCATAGCTATAATTAACTCTCTGAATTTACTCTGCAGTGTGTGTTCAGACTTCAGTGTTTCTTTGTAAAAGGCTAAATGAATGGAATAATCCATTGTGACCCATCGCCTATGTTCCCCGCAAGCCATATTTCACCAAAGTTTTCCATTAGAGTATGGAATACTTATATGGGAGCTGCAATTCAGTTAAGAGGTTATTTCATTATTGTACTCAGAATTATTGTGACTAGAATCAACAAGGGAGGATGCACTAATTGTATGGTGCTAGAACTCTATTTTAAGGGAATAGAGTGGCTGTGTAAATCTGAAATAACAGACAGTTCTCTGAGTGCCTCCATGGCCCCTACCTAGACTCATAGTGAGAAGACACATGGGGCTGGGAACTAGACATGTAGGAACTCTTCATGGCAGTGAAAAATGCTCATTTTGGTAACCTGCATATTTGCTCAAAACAATTTGTTCCACAACTTGTTACATATCTTCAATCCTGTGGTAGATTCTGAACCATTCAGACTTTGCTCAAGGAGAAAAACACTGCATATCTGTCTTTCGTTTGGGGTGAGAGTGTTATTTTGTTGTTATTTGTCTTGTTTTGTAGTGGTTTTGGTTCTAGTTGATGGTTGATGGAATAGCAGACCATTTCTTTTAGCTTATTTTCTTTTCTTTGGGTTAACGTGTTTTTTTGTTTGTTTGTTTGGTTTTTTTTTGGGGGGGGAGCTCAAATTCAGCGAGCCTCACTATCGTCCACATCGGGCAAAGGAGAAAGAACATCAGAAAGTCAAAAAAGTCAAAAAGGAAAAGCATGAATTGTACTTCACTTCAAGTTAATCAGAAAAATATGGAACATCTTTAATGGCTGTCTCCTTGAACAGTGTTCAAACCTGGGCAGTGAACAGACGGAACAGTACCTGGCCATCAGCAAGTGCTCAATATAAGTTAGTTGTTATATTGTTGTTGTTACTTTGTGAGCTAAAATGAATGTAAAAGGACCAAAAAAAAAAAAAATTGAAGAGGGAAAATACTCTTGCAGGTGCATGCATGTGTTTTAGGTATTTACCTAATTTCTTTCAGTGCTACAAATTCAGTGAAAGAGACATTATTTTAGGGGAACCTCTAAACCTTTGTAAATGGTGCTTTCAGTCACTGGTGTTCTCTTATTCTGACTTACCCAAGAGTATTTTTCAGGATGTTGAACTGATCCCTTTAAATTGGAGAGAGACTAGCAAGGTTTCTGCTGTGCAAGGTGACAGGTCATTTCCCATTTTATGTGCTGGTTCTTGAAATCCTCATGAGTAAATACACATTAATGTTTAAATGTGGAGTGACAGTGAGTAGTCTGTTTTTTATTCAAAAAACAGAAAACCACAATTTCTTTTTGCCAGAGAAACAAAGCAGCACCTGTATACAATAATTAATCACCCTGTGTTCTGATATCTAAGGATGAAACTAAATAGTAATAGTTAATTGGGTGCCGTATTTCTGAATAAAATTGCCTAGTTTATTATTGCCTAGTTTGTTATCGGATTTCTCTGAGTCTTAATTTTTTTTTTGTCCATAGTAGTTAAATAAATGCTGATATTGTGGGTTTCAGAATACACATTCAGGGTTTTGAAATCATGAAACTGATAAACCAGATTAATTCCACCGGCAGATGGATTACAGAGAAGTCAGTTGATTTTGCATTTCTGGTATAATGAGACTCTTTATCTGTGAATGAGATTCACACCAACCCCCAGTATATAGACTTATTAGCCCTATCAGATGACTTAAAAGACCATCGCAAAATAGTGACTAAAATTCTGGAACTCCTGCACTTTTATATTTCCTTCTTGTCTATCACATTCATATTCTCTCAGCCGCCCCTTACTATTCCCTAATCAGTATTATAATAATTAAAGCCATCAGGCTGGTTTCTATCAGTTCATATTGAACAAATCGTCAGCTAGAAAATCCTTGATGTGTTGAAGATAAAGCCAGTAGAATATTGTTACTTTGTTAAAGGACTTTGAGGTTTGATAGATTTTTTAATCTTTAAGAATTGATATACCTCCAAATAGGCAATTATTTCTTTGTTCAAATCAGATTTAACTCTATTTTAATTCCACAAGTCTTTTTTACAATGATTATTTACAAATTTAACAAGTAGGAATGTTATATAAAATATAAAAGTAATGCTATAAATACCAGCATAAGAAATTTATTCATTCTTCCTTCCCACCATCCACCCAACAAATGATCATTAAGTATTAATGCAGAAAATGATGGGTTAGACAAAGTCCTTATCCTACGTAGGTCATGCCACTTGAGTATTTGTGTTCTTGCAGAGTTACAAAGTATTTTTGCACAAGAATTTCCTTGTTACGTGTCTCAAAACTCATGTCACAAAACTCACTGTCTCTTCTTTGCCAGCATGAAGATATTAAAGATCGAACTTCCACATCTTCTTTACATCTTATTCACATATTTTTACTTTTTGTTTTGACTTTGTAGTTGGTGTGTTTCAAAACCTTATGTATGTTCTATCAGAGGAGAGCTCAGTTTACTCTTTGAAACCATGAGGATGCTATACAGAACACCCGTTTGTCATCAATTATGTTCAAATTATGTCATTCCCAAAGTTACAAATTATCTTTTGCACTCTGAAAAAAAAGAAGTGACTGTAATATAACATTTGTGAAATGACAAAATTATACTGACAGAGGAAATATGGTTGCCAGGGGTTAGGGTTGGAAGAGGTAGCAAAGCAGTTTCTTTGTTGTGTGTGTGTGTGTGTGTGTGTGTGTGTGTGTGTGTGTGTGTGTGTGTGTGTGTGTGTGTGTAGATACAAACAGTTTCTTAGCCTGATTGTGGTGGTGGTTGCATGAATGTCTACATGTGATAAAGTTTTATAGAAATAAACACTCAAAAAGTGTGATGTGTCAAAAATACTGATTGAAAAAGATACCTGCACCCCCATGTTTATTGCTGCTTTATTTACAATTGGAAAAACATGGAAATAGCCCAAATGCCCAAAAATAGATGACTAGATTAAAAAGATGTGGTACATATATACAATGGAATATTACTCAGCAACCAAAAAAGAGAAACACATGTCTTTTGCAGCAACTTGGATGGAGCTGGAAAAGATCATGCTTAGTGAGATAAGCCAGAAAGAGAAAGAAAAATACCAGATGGTTTCACTCATAGCAGGAGTATAATGGACCAGGCGAGAAAATAACAAAAATGAACAGCTATATACCAGAGACATTTTGTGGGGGTGGAGTGGGGAATGGAGTCAAAAATGGGAGGGTGGGGAGGGAAGTGCACGGGATTATGGTGATGGCACACGGTGACTTGGTGATGGGAAACTTGCAGGGATTACAATTGAGATAGAAAAAAATTGTACAAAATGATGTAAAAACAAACTGTTATAAAATAAAAAAAAGTGTGGTATGTGTTTGTGTGTGTGTATGAAAACTGATAAAATGTAATCAAAATTTAGGTAATAGTATTGGATCAATGCCCATTTCCTGGTGCTAAGAATTATTATGGTTACAAAGGATGTTACCATTAGGAGGAGCTGAGTGAAGGGTACAGGAAAATTCTCTGTAATGCTCTGCAAGTTCTTGTCAGTCTAAAATTATTTTAAAATGACAAAATATATATATAGGAAGATAAATTTGAAATACAGGTATGGGGGCACTAAATACTGGGACATTATTATCTGACTTCAGATATTACTATTACGGTAACTGGAAATCTCATAGTGGTTTCACATTAGCATGAATGACTTAGGCTGTGAACAGAATTTAGGACATAAGGAAATACACTCCAAGACAAGACTTTAATGTTCTGCAAAAGTGGGGTGGAGGGAATGCATCCTGACCTATCTAACTCTCTTATTTATTTATGTATAGAAATAACATTTGTATAAATAATTCACAAACTCTTTTTTTTTTTAACTCTGCCTTTATCCACCAAACCTACTAAATCGCTAAATAAGCATAGGGTAGGAAATTGATTTCATTTCTCTTACTATCCCTGTTTACTTCTTGTATGGATTCTAAGTATAGTGAGTGAGGTAATCCATAGATTCGTAGCTGGCTGTGATGAATGGAAGGTTGACTTTATCTTTTGATTGCCCAAACCTGTCTACTACTTTCTGATATTTCCCATTTCCCCATTTTTCTCTGACACAATTCTGCCCTTTTCATGAGTAGATTTGGTGTGATGGTATTAATAACTTTCTCATTGTGTCTTCTTTCTTCTAGCTATCTTAATGACTTGGACCGTGTTGCTGACCCTACCTACCTGCCTACACAACAAGATGTGCTTAGAGTTCGAGTCCCGACCACAGGGATCATCGAATACCCCTTTGACTTACAAAGTGTCATTTTCAGGTAATAACTACTTCATACAACTCACTTCCCAGCTTTTATACCTTGATTACATTTGGTGAGCTGTAAATATTGGTCATGTAGGCCTTACAACAACATCACTTTTGAGTCAGTTACCATTATATATATGAAAGGAGTATGTGCCTAAGAGGAAACAGAGGAAAGATGTGTGAGATGATTTCTCATTTCATTTTAACTCACTGGGAAATCATGAAATCTTTGGTTGCTGGGAGTTGTACAAAATCAGTTACTCAAACTTAGTCCCTATCTATAGTTTTTTGCAAACCATTTTAACTGTGAGGACAGTAGATAGATTTTTAGATCTAAGATGAATACAATGTTTGAATAATAGAAAATATATTGTCAGTTTTTTGTTGTTTCCTCAGTCTTCTGCTATTATTGCAAGTTTTTCAGCAACAATACAAATATGGACGTTGTAATTATGAGATAAGTTGCTTGAAATTTTTCAAAAATCAGTTTATTAACCTAGCCTACATATACATAGGAAAACAGAGTATAAATTTATTACTTCCTCCCTTGTGGCTGATATTCTGTGGATAATACTTAAGCAGGAGTATTCTCTCTCTCTCTCCCCCTCTTTGGGAGGTATCTAAAGTTTATGTGTATACACACACACAAAACCTCATTTTTCATTTTGTACATTTTTTTTTAATCTCGGTTGTAATCCCCATGGATTTCCCACTATCAACTCACCCATGTGTTTCTCTTATTTTTATTTATATGGTTAGATTTATTTTCTTTATTTATACATACAAGAGCTGGAGTGCAGGCCAGAGGTGTGAGAGGAAGGGTCAGGGGGTTCACCAAAGACAAAGTGGGGAACAGAACTAGCAGATCAACTGAAATACACTGCTGAGGGGAGCAGCAGGCAGGACAGGATGGGTCTGCTGCACCATGTGGGTCAGCTCCCTGGCTAGGGATCCATCTCTGTTGCAATAGCTGTCAATAGTTTCATAGTGCTAAGGCTTAACCCTTAGGGAGGCCTTCTCTATTTTTAAAGGAGAAAAAAGATACTTAGATTATACTTTTCAGATGATCTCTACTGCACATCGTTTGGTTCCACTTCTAGTTTCAGTAAGAACCACGTAATACTTTGAAAAGTGAAGCCATATCAATATGTCTTTGAGTGTAGAGAGTCTTATTCCTTGGGAAACCACTCCCATTGAAGATGATTACATTCAGCAGAGGCTCGGAAGGTAGAAGAAGGGTAAATTGCTCCTGTGTTGCTGCCACATGACTGCTGAGCAGGACCCTGTCATTTCCTGCTGAAGCACTGCGTGCCTTATTCTAATCAGGCTCTGCACCTGTGGTTGCTACTTGCAACTTGAATAGACATTCATAAAGTGGGTGGAATTTTTGAAATATTTTTGAACCTCAGTTTTGTCATCTATCAAATGGTTCTGTTAGATCATCATTGGGTGCTCATAAATTCAGTTTTCTGCATTACTTCAGTTTGAGTTCATAGTATTTAGAGACCTTTAATTTGAGACACCCAAATTTCTTTCATGTTATAACCATATTACAGAATATTTTCCAAAATCATATGGCATTTCATGGAGCTTTTCGTGTTCTAATTGCTTTATAATTAGTGAATTCTGAAACTGAGTCATTACATCTTGGTTTTCCTACATTTTTTGCATTATTTAAAGGACATTTTTTGCTATCAAGTAAAAGTAATAATTTGAAAGAATAATTTCCTGCCACCATCATAAGCATCTTATAAGGCTAAGTGTAACAAGATGTCATGAAATGCGGATTTCCTGTAAATTAGTTGCACTCTGCATCAGAGAAGATGCTAATATTTTTAAACTTTTAGGGACCCACAGATTCTAATTTTGAAGTCCCTAGTTTATAGGTTCTTTTACTCCATTCTTTTTCTCCTCAGATATCTCTTCAATGCCTTTGAGAACTTAGAAACAGTCACTGGAACATCCTTGATTTTTTTGATTAAGCTTAATGCTTACAGGCAGGAAAACACCAAGAACAATTGCAATCTTTAACAAATACTTAAATGGCCATACTTTCAAACTTTAGTACATTAAACTTTAATTCTCTAAAGATGTTTAACCTGTGAGCCTCATACAGTTTGGCTATAATGATTAAGGAAACCTTCAATTCAGTGCCAACTACTGCTATATATTTTCTTGTTGCATTTTATATAAAGATAATGTACATTATCACTCAAATTAACTTATGTTAATTTAGTTGATGAGCAGTAACTCAGCACAGAGTTAATGCGTTAAAAACAAGTCCTGGAAATATTTAAAATAATGGTCTTTTTTAATGTCTTGATGTTTTATCCACTTAACAGGTTAACAAGTTGCTTAATGCATTGCATAACTGAACTGTATTACTTCACATCACTGAAACTGTCCCAAATTTTACAAGTTTTGTAGAGGGAAAATAGTCCAAAATATTTACCCTAATGATGAAGGCTCAGTGGAGTTGTGTTTGAAACATCTCACACAACCACACTGAAGCATATAGCATCTTCTATCTTTTAAATATATTTGTAGCCATTTGTAGCATCCTTAAAAGTACATGAAGATCCTCATTTGCATTTTATAAGAAAAGAGGCTGTAGTAAATATTTGCCATTAGAACCTAACATGAATAATTTTTTTTTTTTCTTGAGTCTTCAATGCTTGATGAAATAAATTCCAGCTTGTTTTGCTTGGCAGTAGACATTTTGCTGACAATGTTATTTTCATAAATATCTAGCAACTTTCTAGTAACTACAGTGATTTATTACTCAGACTTTGTTGACTTTGTTAGGTGATAAAAATTTAGATGATCAATAAGTATTAATTGTCTTGAATGGTCATTTTCCTTAGAGAGTTTATAAATAAAGATATATACTTATATTGATTTTTTTCTTTATATGCTATTAATATAAATATTTTAACCTTACAGAATGGTCGATGTAGGGGGCCAAAGATCAGAGAGAAGAAAATGGATACACTGCTTTGAAAATGTCACCTCTATCATGTTTCTAGTAGCGCTTAGTGAATATGATCAAGTTCTCGTGGAGTCAGACAATGAGGTGAGTGCTCTTGGGAAAGGCAGTAGATTATAATTTTAATGTCTGATACTAATACATGATAGGAAGTAGGTTATGGAATAAATTGGCTGTGTTGATTTGTTGATGATTGATTAGGAGGTATTTTAACATAACCCAAAAATAACTTTGTGGTACCACACTCCACTCTCAGTTAAGCTTTTTTGTCAGATATATGTCTTTAATCAGTCACTATTTAATAGATTTAACACTGTGCATAGGTTCTGAAAAGGAAAAAAACATGGATATCCCTAGGCCAATTGTCAGATCACTTTATATACTTCTTCCTACAGGATGAAATCAGGAGGGTTGAAGTGAGTCAGCCTGTTTTGTTTTGTTTTCATTCTGCTTAAATCATTGTTTGTACTCAAAATCTCTCTTGGCAAAAGTGAGTGACTTGCAGCTGGGCTCTAAATCAGTTTGTTATGGAGCCATGAAGTGTTTTTGGTTTTGTGGCCTTTCTGCTCTTACAGAATTCTATAGGTTTAGTGCCATTACTTTGTCGCTACTAAGCAGTGAGCGATTGAAAAGTATCCTTGACATATCTGCTGGAAAACTGCTCGTTATTATAATCACCTTCCTATTACATTTTTAAAACGTATTACATGAACAGAGGTATAAATTTGGGTTTTGGGGCTTAATAATGAGTCCAAAATTGATTATAGGGGGTAGCTAAGGAGCATAAAACACTATGACTTTTAGCTGGATTTCAGTTATGTGTGTTGGGGACTGGAGAAGACACCCTTGATATACCATTAGGACAGAGATTGCAGACTGATAGCCAACAATAAGAATTAAATACCTTCCTCATGGGGTAGAAATAAAGAAAAGGAAGTAAATTACCTCCAGTAGCTGGTTAAGATCTGCTATATTAAAGTATTCATATGATACTACATTTTTTTAGGCACACAAGAATTCTGTTCCCTTTTAAATAATTCTCTGCAGGTATGCATATCCATTTAAATACATACAGACCTCAGGATTATGGGAGTTTTGGTGGCAGATGTAGTATGTAACATACATGTGAAGAGGTGTGAGCCTCCACATAGTGTTATAAACCAGTGCTATCTCAGTTTAAAAATAATGCAATTTAAAAAGTAAAATGCATGTGTAGTCCTCCACAATTTTTATTCCTAAACCAGTATTGAGATAAAACTTGAATTACTTTTCCATGTGTTTCTGCATTTTTTTTCAAAGAATTTCTTTTTAGGAATGATGTTTATCATACATTTACCCACTGCAGCTATAATACAAAGTGCCTGAAAAGCATTTTAAGATACATGAGAATCAATTATTTCAATTTAAGATGTTGCCATCAGAATTTTAGCTGTAATTCTGGATGTATTTTTGTTTTTATGTGTGCTTTTCCTGTCCCATTACCTTTGGATGTATTTTTTAAACATACTACGTGCATATTTTTGGACATAGACATAGGATGCCTGTAATTTCTTTCACTGTTGAAACAACATATTTTGAGAGCATCTACTTAGTATGTTTTGGGTTCCAGGGTATCTAAAAGATACAAAAGCAGAAATGAAAACAAATAAAATAATTTTTCCATAAGGACCTGGTTTAAAAAAAATGCTTTCTTTAGAATGGGAGTCTTCATTTGTATAGATCATCATTTATCTTTTTCTATTAAAATAGAATTTAAGACATTTATCAACTACAAAGATGTAAGCACACACAGTTTTATTTATGTCACTGCTTACTTTATAGCTGGAGGACAAGTATTGTCAATATATAAAGTAAATACATTGTATTTATCAAGGAATAGATGTAAATGAGTGCTAATCATTTTTATTATTTTAAAACTTGATAAATAGAAAAAAAGGTAGATTCCTTATGTAGGTCTCCAGCTAATCCTACAACATAAATTTACTTCTTCAACTACCTGAATACTACAGATCACTTACTCCATTTTTCATTTTTGATAAGGCATTGTTTATAGAGATAAGTTTTTTGAGCAGAAGTGTGTGTGATATATATATATATATAAATTTGACTAAGATGGCATTGTTTTGGTTATCACACATCAGAGTTTCTATGATCACTTGCCATTCAGTGTACTTGTAAAAGTTATTTCCCCAGTTTCATATCGTGATGCATGTGCTACAAATTAAAACAATAAACCTATCGTTTTTTATTAGGATTTCTCTAATCATTTGTGAATATTATCAAAAGTCAACTTGTTATTCTGAGATAAGTCATTTTATCATGTTCTTTTCTCAGATCCAAAATCAAGCTTAATGGTAGTGTTAAAGATGATCTTATTATTTTGTCAATATTTACTACAACCATCACTGTTGGTTATTAGGGAACAGTATTGAAAGAAAGCATTTTTAATGTCAGGATGTAGTCACATATTTATCTCCCCAACCCCCTTGGTACTGATATATGAAAATGTCATTACCCCTCTACTTTCTTAAATCGTTAAGAAAAATGAGAATTCTACTTTCCCATATTTTCTGACTTTGGTGTGACAAAGCTGAAATAAACTACAAAATAAACATTTTGTTCTTGGTTTTGAAATCTGATGCTCATAGCTTGAATCCAAAGTAGACTTTGTTGTAGCTCCCTTGGTATATATTTGTGAGAAAAACTTGGGAATGAAGACTGACAGCTTCCTTCTTTATCCTGGTCAACTGTGGAAAATGCAATGCAGACCCCAAGCAAAAGCAGCTAACGGAGGTATTTTAGATTATTGCTTTTGCCTTTAGTATTTTCAAAACTTTTGCATTCATCTTTAGATTTTGTGCAAATCTTTCTAGATTCTCAGTTTTCATAGAGTATGGGTATATTTTTTTTCCCAAAATTGAAATGTATCATCAAATAGTGGGTTGGAATAATCGGGACTGTGACTGTAATGGCTGGCATATTACCTTTTCCATCTTATTTTCTCTGTGATAATACCAATACAAAGCCAACTCTTCAGTATGTTTTTCATGGGTATGTTATTTCAGTTCCCCTAGAAGTCCAGAGCACTATCAGCAATCCACACAATATTTCAGTTCATCTATGTGTTTACATATTCATTTATTCTTTTTTTTTTCCCTATATGAATATCTGATTGATGGACTGACCAAGCTCTTTATAAAATTTCAAATATTTTGTTCTTCATTTCTTTTTTTGAATATGTACTTTTTATTTACATGAATTCTTTTGAAATGGTCATGACAACTATGCCTTAGTTTAATTAAATTACCAGGCTAGTTCCTCATACTCCAAGCACTTTTTGAATCAAGATAGATTTAAATACTGGCTCCCATAAACATGTATTTTCTAACCTTATTGTTGGAATTACTCTTGATTTAAAAAAACAAATGAACAAACAGTAAAAGGAATAAACATTTGTAATACATCAGCATTTTATGCTTATTCAAAGCTTTCTTAACATTACTCATTTGAAAATCACCAGCTGGCCTCCCTAAGAAATGACACAGTTGGGTTTAAAGGTATGCATTTAAAAAATGAAAACAGAAGAATTGAGATTAGGCCCTTAACCAAGGTCACCTTAAGACCAGTTCCCTGCCCTTCTGGACCAGCATGCTTTCTTCTCCCATCTTGTATCTTCCAGAAGTTAGAAGCAAATTCAGAGAGGAAAAAAGGGGAATAAAGGTGACATCGAACATAGAAGTAGAGTGAAAATCCTGTCCTTTTCAGAAAGGAAATAAAATTAATTCTTCTCTATCTCTGAGTACTTACAGGTAACAGTAGATCAGCCAGAATCCTTTACTACTAATTCAGAGTTCCTGTATAGCTTATTTCATTTTGAGCTGTTATAAAGCAAACAATCTAAAATATGCATTTCTTTTAGATACTGTTTCTTCTCTCCTGTGTTTTAAAATTAAGCCATTTTGAAGTTATTCAACTGCAACCAAAGTCTGAACATTTTCTTTATTATAAGTGTGAAATATGGACTTTGTTCTGCTCTGAAGTTCCAAGTGAGCTTTGGAAATTGTCTTCAGATGAAATACAACTTTGTGGGGGGGTGGGGGGGAGGAACTGTCTAAAATTGAGGAGAAAAAGTTCAAACTCCAAAGGAAGATCTAAAGAAAGTTTGCAAGTAGTTCACAGTTAGAACTTGGGATTTCTGACTCAATTGGATTAACTCTGACCCTCTTTTTCACTCAAAATTTGAAATTAGAAACTTTATCTCGGTCCTTAGCCTTTGGTAACCTTATCGATCAACAACCAGATTCTCAAGGATATTCCTGAGAATATCCTTTTTTATGTTTGACCTCTTTTCAAACTTCCTCATTGCTTTGTTCCTTTCCAGTCACTCATTCTTTTTAAACCCCTTTACACCTTTCAACTTCAGCATTTCTTCATCATTATACCTCTGCTTAGTGTCTTTATTCATATTGCTTGATGGAAGCTGGAAAAAGGGTTTTCTTAACACTATTTATGAGTCTTAAACTAGAGATCTACACTTAGTGCTGGTAGGAGTGTGAGGAAGCAGGCACACATGAACACCAATTGTGTAAATGTACACTGGATATTTTTTAAAGACTGAACCCCTGTCAGTATAATTAGTATAATTACTGAATCTATATTAATATAAGCTGTATTTTGTTATATGAAAGAGATTGCAAAGAATATAGTATATTTAGGGTAATCTGATTTCTATAATACTAACTACACATACTCACAAATACATCTTTATAAATTATAGGAAGGTTATCAAAAGGAACGTTATCAGACCACAAAAGCAAAAAATTCAAAGATTTTCTACTAAGAGCAAGCTCTTAATAGTGACTATTATCATTAAGTGATAGTACTATAAGTAATAACTGATACGATTTTTTAAAGTAAATTACAACTTCTGATTTTAGCTGTCATTACCAACTTTGTTCATTTTTCCTTTTGGTTACCTTATTTGTAGGTGTTCCTTCTATACTTTAGATATTTATTGGATATGCCATCTTGAAATGTCATGCTAATTGCAAATACCTTTTTCTACATTGTATCTTGCCATTTATAAT